TATAGTATTCACTTAAGGTAGGGTCATCTTTTTGTTCTCTTATGAAAGATAGATTACTAGGATTCCCCATATTGACTAGATTAGCTGTTTCATTCCCTTCTATTATTTCAAAATTCCCAATGTTTTCTTCAGTGCCTGCAATTGGACTTCCCTGGGAACGAGTTGTTACTAAAACACTCTGTACATGCTGTGATAAATCCAGGCCCAATATTTGAATCAGACACTTGCTGCCAACATAACTTGTCTATTTAGATTGAATTTTAATCACAGATGTTCTTTTTAATCATTGATTAGAATCACTCATTAAAACGTCTTATACAGTATTTGGTTACATGTTCAATTCTTCATTTGTTTTATTGATTTATTCACTTTAACCAACTTGTTAATAATATCAGTTCTGTCTAGTTCTCTGACTATCTATCTGTCTTGACTATTCATTTTCTCTCCTCCACATTCTCATTCTTTCCCCTTCTCTCTTCCTAACTCCCCCTCTAACTGCCTCTAACTGCGTAACTGACTCTGCCCCTCCTGTCCTCTCATAGGCTCCTGCACTTGAGCTTCAACTATGAGTTACAGGAGTCACGTGGGTGTTCCATCACAGTACCCAATTTGATTTCCTTTTGTCCCTAATGGGAAACTGTAAATAACTAAAATTCATTGATTGTGGAGGAAGGATCAGATCTCAAATGCTCGTGTCATTTGGTGGCAAGCAGTGCTTCAATGTTTTCTCTTCAGATTTGATTGTGATACAGTAATTGTGATACAGTAATCCAGGAATAGTGCCTGAAAAATAAGTTACTAGATAAATATGGTGTCAGGCAGTTAGTCATTAGAAGATCAGGACATATATATCACTACTACAGCAGTGCCTTGCAAGATGAAAATAATTCGTTCCGTAAACCCTGTCATCTTGCGAATTTTTTGTCTTGTGAGGTACGTTTTCCCATAGGAATGCATTGAAATTTAATTATGTGTTCCTATGGGCAAAAAAAAACTCTGAAAAAGTTACTTACCAGGTAGGGAGCTGGGGAAGCACCATCGGAAGGCAGGTTTGCCCAGCACCATCAGAGGACTGTCGGGGGTCCCCTGCAACCATGATTGCCAGCTTCCGAAGCCTCTGAAGACTTCCCAGCACCATTTTTGAATTTCCTGCCCTTTTCCCCTGCCTTTCCCCTTTCAGAGGCTTGCCGAGCACCATCGGAGGCAAGCCTCCGAACGGAAAAAGGTAGGGGAAAAGGGTGAGAAATTCAAAAACAGTGCTAGGGAAGTCTTCAGAGGCTTGCCCAGCACCATCGGAGGACTGCTGGGGGACCTCTGAAAGCGGCGATCGCGGATGCGGGGGGCACCCGCCCGGCCTTCCTCCGATGGCGCTGGGCAAGCTTCCGAAGGCTTCCCCTGCAGCATTGGAGGACTGGCGGGCGTACCCCACAACCGCGATTGCCGGCTTCTGAAGCCTCAGAAGATTTCCCCAGCACCATCGGAAGACTACTGGGGGACCTCTGAAAGCGGTGATTGCGGTTGCGGGAGACCCCTAGCAGTCCTCCAATGGTGCTTCCCCGGCTCCCTACCTGGTAAGTGACTTTTTCAGAGGTTTTTTTTGGCCCATAGGAATGTGCAATAACTCCAACAGCATAATCTTTACACATGAACTGCTGTATGTTACGTAACTCTGTAGATATTATCTGTTGCACCAAGTTGTGCAACTCAGTAGGCAACAAATAACATCCACTGAAATTTCTTAACTTACAGGAATTTGCATCTACACAATGTGCATAACTGAACAACAATTTCAGCCATTACCATGCTCACAAATCTGCTTTCAATGGTAGATTTTCTCACACACAGAAAAGCAATCTTTAAGCAGTGCAAAATAAACATTCATATATACATTAATGGCTGAACGGTGCAAACAAACTTAGCCAGAGAACTTTTCTCCAGTACTTCAACAATGAGCCAAGAAGGTCTTTTAGGGCTTCCCCAACCCCGATTTAAGATACAGAAATATTACTAGGAAAGGTTAGAAACCCCAGTCGCCAATATTTAGTATGATTTTAAAAATATTAAGTGCACACTTGTGAAAAAATGAAAAGAACATTGAATCATTGCGCCTGACCTTTGCCCCCAGTGAAAAGTTGGGGGGGGGCGCAACAAAATCAGCCAACAGGGCTGCATGAAGCCCTATGCCCGCATTCCTAGTTTACAGAAGGGTCATTATAACTAAATGTTAGCTATTATTTTAAATATACACTTCTCCCTTCAACAATGCTGGGGTTCACAGGGCCAGACCCTGTGTAGATCAAAACCCATGTATATCTCTTATACTCCTCAAAATGTAAGTATAAAGCATAAACTGTTGATGCACACACACACCTCCTGCAACTTGCATCAGCCTCCAGCCATGCTTCAGTACTCCCCACAGCTGCCACATGGAGCCACCATGACAGGAGAGGAGGCCAGCTGGGCCACCACCATCCAGCCAGTGGTTGCTGCAATGCCAAAAACAGGACCCTAGATAAGCCAAAGATCCATATTTCCCAGGTCACTTCCTGGAGATGAATAGCAGGACAGGTAGGTAGGTAGGTAGGTAGGGAGGTAGGGAGGTAGGTAGGTATTCATTTATTCATTTAGTTATTTATTGGGGGGACAGTGTATATACAAAACCATGCTGTTCAGCTCCATGCTCTAGGGAGAAGCATATACTCTATCTACACGGGGAGGTTCAGACTGAAAAACTGCTTAAGATTGTGCTGTTAACTTTCCATATCTATACAGTTTCACATCACATTGTTAACAAACTAGGAAATTCCATTCTGACTGAAGACTAATGCTCAGCAGGCTGGCAAACCTATGCATGAATAAAATAGGTATACAGTGGTACCTCCCGAGACGAATGCCTTGGGCAACGAAAAATTCGCAAGATCATGTTAACTTTCCATATCTATACAGTTTTACATCACATTGTTAACAAACTAGGAAATTCCATTCTGACTGAAGACTAATGCTCAGCAGGCTGGCAAACCTATGCATGAATAAAATAGGTATACAGTGGTACCTCCCGAGACGAATGCCTTGGGCAACGAAAAATTCGCAAGACGAAAGCCTCTTGCAAGTTTTTGGGTGTCCCACAAGACAAAGATATTATCATCTTGCGAGGTATGTTTTAGTGTCCCACAAGACAAAGATATTTTCATCTTGCAAGGTATGTTTTCCCACAGGAATGCACTGAAATTTACCGTATTTTTTCATGTATAAGATGTCCCCATGTATAAGACGCCCCCCTTTTCTAACCCAAAATTAAGAAATTTAAGTGGGGCTTAGCAAGTGTAAGGGGAAAGGGATCTAAGTGCTGCAGGATTGCTTTGATCCCTGCTTTCTCCCTTCATTCTAAGCCCCGCGGGGCTTAGCAAAAGGAGGGGAAAAGGAATCAAAGCAATCCTGCAACTTCACAATCCTTTTGATTCTTTTCCCCCTTATACAGCCATGGGATTGCTTTCATTCTTTCCCCACTCCTTTTGTTAAGCCCCATGGGACTTAGCAAGCAGAGGGGAAAGCGGGGATCAAAGCGATTCTGCAGCGCTTTGATCCCTGCTTTCCTTTTGCTAAGGATTAGCAAGGGGAGGGAAAAGTAGGGATCAAAGCCCTGCAGGAACAATTTGATCCCTGCTTTTCCCTCCACTTTTTTGTACTCTCCTCAACTTAGTTCCATGTATAAGATGACCCTCAATTTTACTCTTTAAATTTTAGACAAAAGTATAGTCTTATACATGGAAAAATATGGTTATTAAGGCATTCCTATGGGCCAAAAAACCTCTGAAAAATATATATATACCCACACATAGTTTGATATCATCAGCAGAAGCAGTGTTTATTTGTTTTTAATTGTTTTATTTATAGGCTGCCTTTCTCCCGATTATGGGGCCTAAGGTGGCAACCCATTGTTGTGTTTCCCACCACCCAAGGAGGCTAGATAGATGGCTACACAAAGCAGGACTTTATCTGTAATGATGCCCCAGTAGTGGTACTCTCTCCTTGTCAAGCTTCTAGCTGTATTTTTTATGAAAAGTAGTTTGTCTATAGGATTGTTTTCTTAAACAACTGGGTTTTAGAGAATGTTTGAATCTACTTCTAAAGAATGTTTTGAATCTATTTCTAAATATTTTTGAACTTATTTAGGCAAAATCTGTTATGATTCCTTTTGGCAGTCTTGGTGGGCAGTAAAGTGATAAACAAATGCCTCGGATGACAATGACATACAGTAATTTCTATTCTCTTTGTGGTCTCCCATGGTTTGTTTCCTGCAGAACATATGCATCTAACAGGTTTAGGTTTTTTTAAAATGTAATATATGTATAATAGATTCAAAATGTGTAATCTTGAGTTTTTGGATTTAGCAAATGTTGGTGTATAGATTTTAAAGCAGTGATTTATTTTTATAGTGTTTGTGTTAAGACTAAACCAGACTTACATATTAACCAAAAGAGACCTGTGTCCCTTCTTCCCATTGCTGCTAATAAGAGGAAGCCTGACTTTCCAAAATGAGCACTCCCACTTTTCATTTAGATTTAGCTATATCTGAGAGTAGGAAGAAGAAAGTTTTGGAAATATTAATGCTACTTGGGCAAGGCTTCCTCTAAGACGTGTGCCTGCACACGAGCAACTCCATCTCCCTCCACCCAGCTTTCCTTTTCCTCAGCGCAGCCCCTTTGGTTCTGTTTGCAGCAGAACCTCGTATGTGGAGGGGGGGACGGAGGCGCATGTGAACGGCAAAGTCATGCATGAGAGAGGGAGAGCCCCATCCAGTGAGGCCAAAAATAGAGGGTACATTGTACTTGTATGCATTATGATTGAATGTTAATTATTTGCATTAATTATACTAATAGTATACGTATTTTAGTTTACCTGCTAGGACTCCCCAGCTGATATACATTAGAAAAGATCAAAATATTCCTTAAATTGGTTACCTTTCAATTATATTTATGTGTTTTGTTTTTTAATTTCAGCTCTTCTCACTGATGGAGATGAAACCTCCTATTTCTCGTGCAAAGATGATTCTCATTACTAAAGCTGCCATTAAAGCTATTAAGGTAGGGTAGTAAAGAATGTTTCTACTGTCTGGTACAAAGTAGATATACCTTTCACAATATTGTGAGTTATTTATAATAAAGTAGGACTGCAGTATTTGTGGGGAATTGTTTCCAAGCCCCCTCAGTAGTGAACACTATACATAGCATGGTTTCTGTCTCCCTCTAGTCGTCAGTTCTGGTAAATACACTGTAGAAGTACATGTAAAGACGTACCATATTTCTAGAGGTTTTTTAATTTATATTTTTAGATAGATAAGTGAATTCGCAGATACTGATCCTGCAGATGAGGGAGTCTCATTGCATACTGTGTATTTTTCCATTAAAAGCAGGAAGTGATATTCGTTTGTACTGTTATTTTACAAATCCTTTAAGAGTTTTGCTACTTTCATTTTTAATATATCTTTTCAGTTACAGCCAAAGTAATTTCTTAGCTTAATAATTTCATTGCTAGATTTTGTCATAGTTCTGGGAGAATTAGAAATAATTCTATAAGATATGCTCAGTGATACAACCTTTTTGTTACTACTTTAGAAGTATTTTAAATTGGTTTATGTATGTATGGTTGTAATTTAAAAATCACATCTGTTTGAATCCTTTTTCTGACAAATAGATTTTAAAATGCTGTTTAATTCTCTTTCAGCTTTACAAACATGTAGTCCAGATTGTAGAGAAGTTTATCAAAAAGGTAAATGGAGTTATATGGATAATAATTTACCCATATAAATTATATGTTATATGGATAATAATTTTAAGTGGTGTATCAACTCAATCATTTTAACAGTATTAATAGGTTCTTCCATATAACCTCTTAAAGGGATTGTCACAAAAGGCTAAACTGAATTAGTCACAACTAGAGTAGACCTATTTATTTATTTGTATGCTGTCTTTCTCCTCATAGAGAACCCAAGGAAGCTCACAACAACTAAAACTGTAAAACAAATAATAGTTTAAAATACTATATAAATATCATATTAAAAATAAAAATATATTAAGATTAAAAATCAATATTAAAAACAATTTTTAAACATTTAAACATCTGTAAGTTAATAAGCAAGCATTTCTGAGACAACCTCCTGCTTAAAAGCCTGCCAGAAGAGGTAGGTCTTTGCCTGATGATGGAACGATATGAGACAGCAGGCCAACCTGGCCTTTCAGGGCAGCATGTTCCAAAGCTTGGGAACAACCACTGAGATGATTCTCTTTTGTGTGCTCACCAAATGAGTTGAAAAAGGTGGTAGACCCAGGAGAACGGCCCTCACAGAAGATCTTAAGAGCTGAGAAGGTTCATATGGAATGATACGATCCTTCAGATAGCCTAGACTCAAGCCATATAGGGCTTGATAGGTAGTAATCAGCACTTTGTACAGTGGTACCTTGCTAAATGATGACCCTGCTAAACGACGAATCCGCATAATGATGACTTCTTGCGATTGCTATAGCGATTCGCAAAACAGTCATTTCTATGGGGGATTTTCGCTGGACGCCGATTAAGTCCGTGCTTCGCGAATCGTTTGTTCGCAAGATGACAATTTTTTCGGCTCCGCAAAATGGCTGCCCTGTGTTTTCCAGATCCATGCTTTGCAGGGCAGCCATTTTTACCAGCTGATCAACGCTCGCAAAATGGCTTCCCTATGGGTGATCTTCACTGGATGACGAGGTATTTTCCCCATTGGAGCACATTAAATCAGGTTTCAGTGCATTCCAATGGGGAAAGGGTTTTCGCATGATGACGATTTTGCTAAATAGAGATTTTCATGGGACAAATTAAATTATTGTCGTTATGCGGGGCACCACTGTATTGGGCCTGGAAAAAACTGGCACCCAGTGAAGTTGTTAACAGAGTTATGCAACTAAGGCATGTTGTCACCATGGCTAGACCAGACATCTCAAGAAATAGGCACAGATTCAGCTGTACAGATACACTCCTGACTACTACTGAAACCTAAGCTCAGGGTTGAGTCCAGGTGTACACCTAAGCTGTGGACCTGACTTTTTAGGGGGAATGCAACCTCTTTCAGTACAAGCAGAATCCCTGTGTGTAGCTTGGCTGTGTACCTGGATTCATCTCCAAACCTGGGTGCCCAGGTTTCAGTAGGGGCCAGGAGTGCCTTTGCACAGTTAAAACTATTACACTAGCTGTGCTAATTTCTTGAGAGGTCTGATTTGGCCATGGTTACATCTTGGCGGGACTACTGTAATGTACTTTAGATGGGGCTATATTTGGAGAGTGTTCAGAAACTCCAGAGGAGTCAAAACATTGCAGCCAGATTGCTAACTGGGCCTGGTTACAGGGAACATACAACTCCCCTGTTAGAACAGCTTCACTGGCTGCCAATCCATTTTCAAGTACAGTTCAAAGTGCTGTTGTTAACCTATAAAGCCCTAAATGGCTTGGACCCAAGCTATCTAAAAGACTGCATCTCCCTTTAATATTCCTTTTGTTTACTGTTTTCAATATAATACTTGTTCAAAAATCCCATTCATTCAGTAGGTCTAATCTATTTGGGACAAAAGGTGACTTTAATTTCTTGTTTATTGTTCAATCTAGAGCTGTGTGGAGTTGAGATTACCTATTTATAAATATTTCTTAGTCCCTTGATAATATTTTCAATATAATATTAGGACTTGGTAAGTTATGGTGTTGGGACCTAAAGTATTTTTGTTTTATGAAAAGGAAGACATTCATGCTACAGCACTTCTTTTTTCCTTTTGTTAGACTGGATCACTACTACATTTTTGCCCCACTTTTCTAGGCTGCACTTTGAAATAAACAAAACTTGGAGATGCTGGGAGGGGAGCCTTTTCTCTTTATGATGCCCAGCAGCATAGGAGACTGCTGTTTAAGAGTAAAGAATAAAGCCATAGGTGTATGTGGAGTTCTTGCTTCTTTGAAGCACAACTGATTATTTTGCTACTTGATCTTTGGGATGTAGGACCCTCAGTTTTGAATCTAGGCACATAGTTAATTCTAGCTAGGATTAGCTCAGTACAGTGGTGCCTCGCTTAACGAGCACACCGTTTATTGATGAATCCGCATAGCGACACGTTTTTTGTGATCGCTAATGTGATCGCATTGCAATGTTTTAGGTAGCAAAACATCGCATTGCGATGATCGGTAAGCATTTCGCTTACCGATCTTCGCATTGTGATGTTTAGAAAACATCTGATCGGTGGTTCCAAAATGGCCGCTGGGTGCAGAAAATGGCCGCCCGCAGCTTTTTCGCACCCTGCCCTCACTTACCTAGGCGGCGAAAATGGCGGCTAGATGGGGAATCTTCGCTTACCGGTGAGTCCCCCCCCCATAGGAACGCATTAAACGGAGTTTAATGCGTTCCTATGGGGTTTTACATTCCGTATAGCGATGTTTCCTGATAGCGACGTTAATCCTGGAACAGATTAGCGTCGCTATGCGGGGCACCACTGTATTATATATTAGGTTGTTAAGTATGTGCCTGTGTAAAATATGCAGCTTGTGACCTACAGTCTCACATTTGTATGTTGTATATTTAATGTACAGTGGTGCCTCGCATAGCGAGGTTAATCCGTTCCGGATTAACTTTCGCTATGCTGAAGCATCGCTGAACGGGGCAGCGATTTCCATTGGAACGCATTAAACAACCTACAGTCTCACATTTGTATGTTGTATATTTAATGTAATGGCCTTATTTTACAATGATGTAGACGTTATGTTGGTATGCTGAGTATGATCCAAATAGCTAGAACTGATTTCTCATTCCCTCTTTTTCTTAGTGTAAGCCTGAATATAAGGTTCCTGGATTGTATGTTATTGACTCTATTGTTCGCCAATCTCGTCATCAATTTGGAACAGACAAGGATGTTTTTGGGCCAAGATTCTGTAAAAATATAACTGCCACATTCCAGTACTTATATCTCTGCCCATCCGAGGACAAGGTATGCCTCAAAGTGTTTGTTACAGGTTTATGACTTTTTATTTATTTGTTTGTTTGTTTGTTTGTTTGTTTATTTATTCATTCATTCATTCATTCATTCATTCATTCATTCATTCATTCAATTTTTACCCCGCCCCTCTAGACAGTGTCTACTCGGGGCGGCTTACAAAAATTAAAACACATTAAAACAATGTAGAAAATAGCTAGCATAATGCAATTATTATAATTAATACTATCCAAGATGGCAACATTAAGAACCAGAAAAAAAGGGGGAAAAAAGAACTTAGGTGACTGGGGGGAAGGCCTGTCTGAATAACCATGTTTTTAGTTGGTTTTTGAACACACCCAGCGAGGGTGCCAGCCGAATTTCAGTGGGAAGTGTGTTCCAC